TATAGTTACTGCCTTCAGGAGGTGGACTATTATGGTCATACAACAACTGGTTTTCAACAGCGTCAAGCTGATAAGCAATCGTAATAAAATGGGATGCAGTATAACATTGACGCAGATAAGCCTGTAGGCAGACATGTGTGGCTGCCAAGCCACACGCATTTGGTAGATCTGTCAGGCCTGATCTCGTGCGGTCGACGCGTGATTGAAGAACGCCGTCGACGTGGCAGGGCAGGCTGTCGCTAAGACAAAGAACCCCGCAGATTAGCAACAACAGGACGTCGAGAGGAAGGGGAACTGGGAGGAGGAGAGAATGAACGAACCTGCCGACGTCCCAATATGGACAACGAAGATAAAGGAGGGGCCGATCTCAGCCGGCGTGCAGGGTGTCGGCGAGGCAAAAACGAAATGAGTTAGAAGAAGGGGAAGAAGAAGACGAACTAGAGGAGGCAGATGAAGAAGAAGAAGAAACAAGAAGAAAGAAGAAGAAAAGGATGATGAAGAAGAAGAAGAAGAAGAAGAAGAAGAAGAAGAAGAAGAAGAAGAGGAAGAAGGGGGAGATGACGAAGAAGAAGAAGATGCTGGCAAAGAGGAAGGGGAAGGGGAGGGAGAGGGCGAGGGAGAGGGAGGGGGAGGGGAAGGGGAAGAAGGAGGTGGAAGAGGAGGAGAAGGGGGAAGTGGAGAGGGGGAGGGGGAAGAACGAGGAGGGGAAAATGGACAAGAAGGGGGAGGGGGAGGGGAAGGGGGAGGGAGGATGAGAAGATGGAAAAGAGGAAGGGGGAGGAAGATGGAAAAGAGGAAGGGGGAGGAAGATGGAAAAGAGGAAGGGGGAGGAGGAGGGGGAGAGGAGAGGGAGGAGAAGGGAAAGATAGGGGAGGAGAAGATGGAAGAGGATGATGCACATATCGTCAAACAGAGTCAAACAGAGCTGCCCGGTAAGTTGGATACAGGAACAGGTTTTTTCTAATAACTCCCAATATACGCGATACTAAAAAGAAAAAGAAAGAAAAGGAAACAAAAAAGGAATTTACGCAATACTGCAAAAGATAGTCTTGACTGAAGTGGCAAGACCCGAATAACTCTTTCGGCATATTGCCATGATTATTAA